ATGCAATGATAGAGTAATTTTTAGCAAAAAAAAAACCGACTTCAAAAAGAATATATATATATCTATATATTTCATGACCCAATGATCGTATCTAAACCAAATTAGTATGGGGCCACCTCTGAGACAGTACCCTTGCAAACAGAATTATTGAAATCGGTTGACGTGGTGCAAAGTTATGCGGTAACATACATAAAAAAAAAAAAAAAAAAAATATTCCGACGAACTGATAACCTCCTCCTTTTTTGGAAGTCGGTTAAAAAAGTTGGACCGCCTAACCAAACAACGTACATTTTATATTGGTTTTTCGTGATCCGCTGACCTGATGTTTTGAATATCGTGTGCGATATGTACCTTATAGAAAATAACCACTTACTCAATCTAATTTAAATAGCTTATACCGTACGATAAAAACCAAAACATTTTGAAACACACGAAACAATCAATATACTCACGAAACTATGGGCCAAGTGTGGTTTTTCTCCCTGACGCACAGTGCTTCCCTCTCATATAAAATATGGGCATAAATATAATTATGAACGGACTTTTATGAAAACGTGTTTCTAAGTGAAATTGAGGACGTCGTAAGCATTTCGTTTGACAAATGTTATTTTAGTTAAATTATATTTGATTTAGCAAATAGGTGGCAATCCACTTAAATATATTTGCAAACTAAAACCTTCTTACACCTATTTCGTCTTTCTCCCTTATGGTGATACCTGTCCATTCCAATACCTAATTCCATTAATTTAAATAGAATTAATTTTTTGAAACAGGTGGCAACCCTCCATGTAGTTAAGAAATATACCCTTTCCATACCCATTTCGATTGAGAGCCAACTTTTATTAATTAATTTAACTTATAAATAATTTGAATTTATTATTTTAACTGATGGCAACTCTTAAAAAAAAATAACTTTATTATCTACAGGTCAAACGTTTTGATCTCACACCTCATTTTTGAAAATCGAAAGAAGCGTGCAGATATGATGGCACTGGAAAAAATTAAAAAAACAACATTTTAAGCATTTTTGAAAACCGCATTACTTCAAAAGGTACAAAAAGAAAAATAATAAAACATAACTTATTTTTACATAAATTTTCTATTCATTCCATTAAAAGTTACCATTTTTTGAACATTTTTATCAAACAAATTTTTCTTTCTGGAATACAGTAGGGACATCCTGTGTTTGACTTTATTTCAAATTTTAGTTCTGTTCTCTGCTATATAAGTATATGGAATTAAAAAACGTCAAACCAACATCACCCAATTAATCACATTTTTTTAATTTTTCCAAAGTCCTTTTAAGAAAAATCCTGACGTCAGAGTGAAAAACTAAAAACGTAGTTTTACTATTTTTGCGAATATAATACGCAAAAGTTCCTTCAAGTCTTTTATGAGTTTGATTTCCACAGTACTTTCCAAGGAGTTCTAAAGAAATAAAGATTCACTTCCGTTCACTGCATTCTTTATTTCCCAAATGTATATTTGTGTCTATGTACGTGTGTGTATTTTTTGTTTATGCTTAAATTTGTTTAGTAATTGTTGCTGGTTACATTTGTTCATAAATTCCATAAAAGAAAGCAATAAATAATTACTAATCATTACACATTTAGCTAAATATACATATGTATTTAATACTTTAGTTTATTAATATATTTAAAGATAATAGGTCTTTACACAGGCATGTTTGTATGTATATATGTATATGAATGTTTTATTGTATGCTAGTTTTTGCGTTGACAACTACATTATTATGTATGTAATTTAATACATATTTACTTGCATGTATTATTTACATATTTATTATATTTATTGTGCGAGTAAATACAGAGAAAAATATTTGCAAATCGCTATGGTGATATTGATTATGAAACAAAGTATTTGATATTTTTAAAAGCCCATAATTTAGTTTCACATAAAAAATTGTATTTGATTTATTTGATAAAAAATTTGTTAATTTCTTTTTCTACATGTTTTTTTCTTTCGAAAAATATAGTCAACTCTGCACGCTTGTCGGTCCGATTTAGGTTGTTTAGCAAATCGCAAATATTTTCCTCTTAACAACGCAGTGTTTTTCCTTTATTTATTTTTATTTGCTGTTTTGTAAGACAAATATTGGCTAAAGTGTAGACAATTTTACCGTTGTTTTTGAGAAAATACATGTATTTGTATGCATGTATTGTACACATTTCAGTGACATAAAATACAAATTAATTTTTTTGTTTTAAATCTTTATACATAGTTTGTTTTGACCTGAAAAAAAATAAACGGCTTTAACTATGACCTTTACAATTTCAAGCGAAAAAATGCTAAAAAATTTGTTTTTGGCTGTGAAAAGGAAAAAAACCATTAGTCGAGTTATTTTTTGTACCCCAAAATATTTTGCAAACTTTTAACTTAACGGAAAATTTTGGTTTCCAAATCCGGGTTTTATTTTAATCCATATGAAGTCAGTTCATCAAAACGCGTAAATGCCTCGTAACCACGTAAACTTGCTTAATTGTGTATGGTAAACCGTTTTATTTACGCGGTGGCCGCGATTACGAGGCATTTACGGGTTTAGATGAATTCCCGTATATTTCTTTTAGTTTTAAAAGTTCGTTTCTAGCAAAAGTTCGTTTCTAGCATCGTTTCATACACGTATGTATCTGTGGAAATTTTAAGGAATAGATTAAGTCCTGTTGGACCCTTTTTTCTGCAAAGTATTATTTCGTTGGGTTCCTATTCAAAGTAAACACACTAGCGATCAAAACTGTGTGAATGGTTATTATTTTAAATATCAATGATTAAATAATTTTTTAAATAAATTTTTTTATGCTTTAGGCAAAACTTTGAAATTTATTAAAAATTCAACAAACTACGCGTATCATAAAAATTTCTAATTTTTCAGTCTCAATTTTTTTTATAAAATTTTTGGATATGCAATAGGGTGGTCCAAAAACAGTAAAGTCGGAATGGTAATGCTCTCACCCCCTAGGATTGCGCTATATCGAAAAAAAGTATAACCCCATTTTTTTATTTTGAAATCAAAAAATATTTAGAGGTCGCTCAAAGCGCTCAAAGTTTTCCATGTATTTTTATATGGGGGAAAAAAACTTTTCGTAGAAATGGTATAGAATTCTTGAAAATCAATATTTTTCGATCGGAAAACTCTGGTTCTCTTCAGGAGTTTTTCAATATTAATACTCAATTACTAATGCTGTTCTATTGGTCTCCCGTTTGCATTTTTCGGGCTTTTTGAGGGTTTTTGGCGGACCTATATAATAAAATAGTTGCGATGAAAAAATGGTTAAATAAACAATTGGGTATTATTACTGGGAACCTTCTTCCAATAGAAAAATTATGATTTTTTATAATTCTATACCATTTCTACGAAAAGTTGTTTTTTCCCCATATAAGATAAATGAAAAACTTTGGGTGTTTTGAGCGACCTCTAAATATTTTTTGATTTCAAAATAACAAAATATGGGAATATTTTTTCGGTATAGAACTATCCTAGGGGTTGAGAGCATAAAAATTCCGACTTTACTTTTTCACATGCATTTTTGGACCACCCTAGTATACAATCTACAAACTTTTTCTGACGGTTTTTGCGGTTTTATTTTTAATTTTCTATACACAAAATTTATGATTCTATGGAAAATAGTGCAACAATTTTTTTTAATTCGCGCAATTTTTCAACCGCATACCCAAACATTTTCTAAAAATTTCCATTAAAAAGTTCAAAACCTTGAAGAAAATTCTTTTAATTCTTTATATAAAGTTTGAAGCATTGATTTCTACGGTTGTGGTTAAAGAATCAATAATATTTTCATAAAAAAAATTTAAAAAATTTCAATTTGAAAAACACCGCGAATATTAAAAAAACATATAGCCATTACCTCAATTTAATATCGCCAGTGTATGTAGTATTTAAAGTACTATTCTCTCATCAAATTTGTGATTTGTGATACCTTTAAAAAAAAATTAAAAAAACGTACTAAATTTATTTGAGAAAGTTCATATATATATTCAGGTATAACACCATCTAAAATCAAAATTTCTAAGATCGCCAATTTTTTTTTTTTTTTTTTTTTTTGCAGAAGTCCACAGATACGGATCGCTCATTTATGTACTTCAACAGTGTCATAATGCAAAAACAATACAAATATTCAGCTAAGTATGCAGAAGTGACCGCTACAATTCAAAATGTTAAAGGCATTTTTCTCGAGTTTCGCTTTTTTGAGTTATTGCACTATTGAAGTAAATGAGCGATATGTATGTACGTACATACTTATGTACATACATACATTTCTAATACCTTAGAAACTGTAAAAATCATAGTTACCACCTCTTCTTTATATATATTTTTTAATTTTATGTTTTTGAAATTAAGGTACAGTGTGCTTTTATGCTTGGAACTATATTTTTTTATACTTAGGGCAAAAGTATACTCATTAAATTTTTTGTTGAAAATTTTCGAAACAACTTTAGAGCGGTATTCACACCGATAAAAACAAACTTTGAAAAGGAATTCTTACCGCCCAATTCTGTGTTTTCTTGATAAATTTTTTGTAAAGAAATTTTATCAAGATTTTTATCAACCGCATTCTGTGTCAATATTTATAAAACAAAAAGCTCTACGATTTCCACATGAGTGGAACTGATTTCATTGTCACATATGAAAAATATGAATTTAAAAACAAAAAAGCTTTTGACTGCCGTAGCCGAGTAGGTAAGGATATGTCGATTATAATTGCGTGTGTCGCAGGTTCAAATGCTGGCACATGGAGTATTTCATTGTTAGAAACAGATTTATTAATCAAATAGCATTTTCAATCTTGATAGTTTATCAAGAAAAGAGCTTTTGATTTCTGTGCTAGAATACCAATTCTTGATAAATAATAAAAAATTTACAAATTATAAAGATTTTCAATTTATCAAGTGCAGAGAATCGGGCTGTTTCTTCTTTAAAAAAATCAAAAACTATAACATTAAAAAAAATTAGAATGATGTAAAACGGAAAACCTAAACTTCAAAATATCGAAAATATTGTTGCTAAACGAAGGTTAGTTTAGAATTTGCTTCAACTTTTGGATTAGTTTGGATTGTTTTATTTTTATCTTTCAATTTTTACGATTATATCCACACCAAAAAGTTATACTAAAAATACCAAAGCAAAAATCGTACATAGCCTGGTTAATCATTTTGTAAACACTCGTATAATGCATAAAATTCTAATTGGCTGGTCACTAGAATTTTAGAATTATACTTTTAAATTACTTTTTTCTTTTTAAATTATTACATCACCAAACCGCTGCGAAAACCACAAAGACAATTGATATAAATAAATAAATGCAAAACTTCATACAAATAATGTCGAGACTTGTATGTTCATATGTATGTATGTGTGTATGTGGTTCCTACTCTGGACTTTCGTGCGGGCATTGAATATAAGCGCCAGCAAAGCCAATAAATTAAACAAGCTCGAACCTGTGTTGCGCCCGATACGTCATGGAAAGATTACTCATGCGCCACTCTCAAGAACACAATTCGCACTTGGGCGCTCCCAGTGGTGTGAGTAATCATGCGGCGAAAATGATGAAAACAGCCAAGAAAGCTGTATTTATGTATGTACATATATTTTTGAAATTTAGTAAATTTGTGATCCAAAGGCAGTGGATGCAGTAATAAATTTTGTAAAACAAAAAAAAAAAAAAAATCCAGTGCAGCCGCACTGAGCGCACCGAAAGTTCATGAAATTATTTTTCGCCGAAAAATAAAAACACCAAAAACTCAAGTTCTTGTGGTCGCTAGTAAAAGCAAAAAAATGAAATCAGTTCAGAGTTTAAAGGCCCCTCGAAAAGGTACACGAAATGAAAGCACGCTCTCTTCCGATCAACTTAAGTCTGTCCCTCTTCGTCCAATTCATCCACGTCCTCCTCCACAATCGGCTTTTTATCGTCCATTTTCCTGCCAATAAAACGCTGAAATACTGTTTTCTTAATCAGATCCGCTCGCCCACCACCACTGCCCAAACTAGTTGTAAATCCACCGCCTGTGGCGCCCCAGTGTGACTTGCCTGCCTCCGTTGAGGTCATTAACATCGAATAGGATGAGCAAACCTCACCCTCCTTGCTGTGATGTATGCCGTACAGGAAATAGATTAGCATGCCTAGTGCGACCCAAATAAAGAAACGCAGCCAGGTGAGCGCACTCAAGTGCACCATCAGCACAATATTACAGAAGATGCTTAGCGCCGGCACGAATGGGACGAGCGGCACTTTGAAGTTGAGACCACGCGTATTCTGGTGATGCACCCCAATGACAGCGACACAGGCGCCCGCAATGAAGATCATAAAGCCGTACAGCAGTAGCGCCCACCATGTACCCGTGTACAGCTCCGTCCAGGATACTTCAAGTTGAAAGCAAATGGCAAAGCTGAGCACTGAGAAGAGTAGCACCGCAGCCGACACGGCGGAGCCGGGTTCAAAGCGTCCCAAGAGCGGTTCGAGCCACCGAAATTGCTGCTTCAGTCGACCGGCAAGGGCGCCCTCGATCAAGTCGCTGGTGGGCGAAGCGGTGTCGATGCTCAATTGCGAAGTATTGTCGTCCTCATCTTCGTCGGGTGTGTCGGGCGCGTAGATGGCATTCTCTTGGCTAACCAGCGGTCGATAGCGTAGTATAATAACGCTGGCGGAGACAATGGTATAGGCGAGCAGCGTGCCAATCGACATGAATTCGACGAGCTTCTCCAAATCGAAGAGCAGCGCGAGTGTGGCGCTTAGAAAGCCAGAAATAATAAGATTGAGAACTGGCACCTGCGTTGTGGCGTTGATGCGGCCAAAGCAACTGAAGAGCAGCCCATCCGATGCCATGGCGTACATGCAGCGCGGTAGAGCAAACAATGAACCCAAGAGTGTGGTTGTCATGCCGCAGAGCGCGCCAATCGAGATCACATATTTCGCCCACAAAAGATCCATCTGTCCGAAAGCCTCTGGCAACGAAGCCGCTGGGTTTATATCGCGTATCGGTATCATTAGCGTAAGCGCAGCCGAGACCAATATGTAGCCCACTGTAACAGCGCTGAGCGAGAGTAGCGTAGCTATCGGTATGGAAATAGCAGGGTTCTTTGCCTCCTCCGACGAAGTGGCAATGGAATCGAAGCCGACAAAAGCGTAGAAACAAGTGGCGGCACCGGCAATAACACCACCGAATCCGTAAGGCAGGAAACCGCCTTCTGCCTCAGACCAATTTCTTGCGTCCGCATACCAAAAGCCCAGACTAATTACCAAAATCATAACAGCAATATTCACCAGCGTCAGCAAGCCGTTAAAAACGGCTGTGGCCTTCACGCCGATCCCCAATGTGGCGGCATAAACAAGACATACCAAAAAGGCCAGCACATCGGGATAGCGCGCGAATAGTTGCTCATG